AAGAGCGTCAATTGTTTTCTTTCCTGTGGCTGTTAAACTATTTTAAGGCTGAAAGGAAAGGTTGTTTAATTTCCTAACACATGACAATTGCAATATTAAAGTAGAGTGAAGAAGGGAGAAAGAACAGATGGAAGAAAAAAAATATTTATATATACATATACATCTTTAAATTTACTCCATTTCTGCGACATCCATCAACGCTGCACAAGTCAACATAACCACAACACATGCTTTTTTCTAATTACACTAACATTACAGAAGATCAATTAGCAATAAGAAATGCCCTTTATTTTTATTTTATATACAACAGTTTAATTTTTTTAACCAAAAAGTAATTTAGTTTTGCATACAAAACTGGATTTTTCTTAAACCAACACCTTAGATTTAACAAGAGCATGCACTCCATTTTAACTGCAAAATAAAAGTGTTCTACCAGTTCCAGCCTTTCCACATGAAGATAAACTCTATTTGAAAATGCAAGTTGTGTGTGCACAATAATCACAAAATGTAGACCAGTTCTTTCTGGCTTCTCAAGAATTTAAAGGCCAAAATCATGTAAAATAGCTGGTATCTTCAATAGACAGTGAGGATTCCTTAAGAAAGAAAAAAAATTAGAAAAAAATGAAGACGGTGTTATATGTATTTTCAAATATGAAAATAATGCCCCACAGCAACATGCCCTATACAAACCTGCCAGAAATTCTACTGTTTCACGTGCAACCCAACCTCGGATGTTTTTCTTTAATATTTTATTACAAATCCCACTCAGGATATATAATAAATTTATATACATTGTGTAAAGTCTATTCACAAAAGGAATTAGCAAGAGGATGCACAGTACAGTTACTTGGGATGCCAGACAAGAATTGTACAAATGTCAGTTGCAATTCAGTTGAATATTGATGGTACCAAATTTTTGAGAGCAAATCTACCTCACATAGCAATAGAGCTACAATGCCTTTAACACTGTAAGCAAAGGCAGCACAAGCTGTATGTCTAACTCTGTTCTTTAAAGCTCCCATTTCCATATGCTTTTCATTTGGCAAACCTGAACCGTTTGAGACGATCATTTTTCCTACAAAGTGCATCTGCCCGATGCTCTTTAGGGGGATGGGAGGGGAAAGCCCAATATTTCCACATCTCTACATTCCGTTGCTACCCATCAAACAGGTCTAACAAAGCCTTCGTCTCCCTCTACTAATAGGTCAGATGAGGAGATAGCACACATCACTTCCTATCAGTTTGCTGGGACGGTGGAGGACTACTATAGATTTAAAAACTACAACCCGTGCAGTAAACTGAGTGCATAAATCACGAGGGGGAGGAGTCCCCAGAATGAATCTTTGTTGTCTTGTCCTTACTGACATAACAAAGCAGTAACACTAAATCTTGTGAAAAGGGCATCCAACAAGTCTGGTAGAGCTGCAAGCTAAGCTCTTCAAATCCTAATTCTCAAGTCTCCGAAACTACCTGCTCCTCCGCCATGCGCTGGCGCAGGAGACATTATAGCGTTTGCTTTCTCCTAGTAATTAAAAGTCAGTCTCTCAACAGAGCCTCTGCCTCATTCAGCACACGTGGCACTATGGCAGCAAGCAGAGACTGTGCAGTGTTAGATCTTTATTTGTAGTGGCTGATGGAAAGCAAGCAGGAAGACAGGTTTTGGCAGGAGAGAAAGGATTATCTCCTTGCTTAAGCTGCTGAGCGCAGCATGGGGAGGTCGTTCCCCATGCACAGCCTGTCTGATACACCCACATTTCATAAGCCACAGCTTCACAGGGAGGTCACCCATGGTGTATTCATCACTTCCCAGGCGCTGGGGGTTTGATGCTCACTTTGCAAAAATATAAAGTGGACAGTTGCAACTGAAATCAGTGAGAGCTTTAGTCAATACACATGAAGGCATATCAGCACGTTATGCTTACTGGGTATAACAGGTAAACAGTCTTCTATTTGGGGGAATTCAGTTACCATGGGGCGCTCTCTTCATTCTAAGCTTGTGCAAAACTGGAGTTAGCAAAGGGCTTAGACAAAAAGTGAACTGTAGGTAGAGCTAAATAGCGACCGCGGGGCTGTCCATCCCCTACCTGAATAGGGCTGTAATGACAATAACCGGCCACTCAGCTGAGGATTCCCTCACACCATGTAACCATCAATCAGCTAAACTAAGGCAAAGATAACATTTACTTATTTGCAAAAATATCAGTACTAAAGCTAAGAGACGTTTAAGAGAAGATGGTGAAATAAAACATTTGAATTTCGAAAAACGGGGAGGATGAGCATTAGGAACACGTGAAATGTAAGATTTAGGGTTTGTCTTGCACATGAACACGCTTCCAGAAAATTCTGAAAGCCAAGATGTGAGGTTTCTTTTAAGTATAGCATGCGTGAAATACTTTCCATATATCTGCATAAAAGTTGATCAACTTATCTGTGGATTAGACAGATAACTGAGCAGAATCAAACTAAGAATCTTTACAGCGTGATATCACAAAGAGCATTAAGAGCCATAAAGCTAAGTACTCTTTAAAGCTTTAAGCAGACCATGCTGAAAGAGACTGTTTGCTACAGTCATCCATCACAGTTCTTCAACCATGCAGTGATCATCCTCTATGGAAAGAATTTAATGTAAAGAAACGGACAGGCCAACACTATTATTTGGAAAGTTTGCAAAGACTCGGGAGTCAAAACTATAGAATTTAGGCTGGCAAAAATCTGAGAGAACGACTTAACAGTATTATGACAGACAATAAAATTGTCAATTTTGACATCTTGATGCTCAGCAGTCATTGAAATACAGAAATAAATAAAAACAAGGGCTAGGAACATTTACATGATGCCACAAAGACTAACTTTACTCTACACGAAATGGAGTGCATTGTCCTTACAATAAAAATATTCTCATTGTTCTTAGCACAGAATGAACAAGACTCGCACTATTCCCAAAGTTATCCATTTAACTACTGATGTCAGGAGTACCAAGAAGACACTCTACCAACACAGATACCCTTCAGTTCAAGTCAGCCTAACGTATATGAAATCAGGAAAACATGCAAAGCTCTGATACGTACCTGATCTACTAATCCTGTCAATTCTATCCATGCTAGGAGAATGGATTCGAATTCGAGGGCTACTCTGATTAGAGGATTCAGAGCCTCCATCGGTGAAAGAGTCTTCGAGCGTGAAGAGAATCTCTTTTACACATTTGTGACAAATACTGTGCTGACAAGGAAGGATCAGTGGATGGGTAAATAATTCCTTGCATGCTGGGCAGATGAGCTCTCTTTCGATATTCTTTATGGTAACCTTCACAACAGAAAGCGGGGGGGAAAGCAAGTGTAAGTGCAGAAAATACAAGTCAGTAGGACATACTGCATTACTGTACGTACATATGTCACTGAACCCCAGCTCTGTAGAACAACTGCTCTACACAGTTTTAGCTGTTTTGGGGCGCAGCTCTGATAAACACCGCACACCAACCCAAATCACCGTTTAGGAAAGCACTGGCAACGGTCATTTCAACTGAAACTATGCAAACCCAGTTCATCTTCAGGTCATGCCTGCATTGCAGGGGAAGAAAAAAGAGGAGGGGTGCAGTCTTAACTCAGGGTAAAAATCCTAGTGAAGCGAGAGCAGCCATAGTTGCTGAGGAGAAGACTCTATAGGTTTAACTCAGTTTGCTTGCTTGCTTTTAAAATAAGCAAGCAAACAAACCAAAAACCCCCCCAAGAGTCAGACTGGTAAGACATCAGGCTTTCCCGCAGCCAGCGTAAATCACATGTAAGCACACGGAAACTGCCTTGACTTCATTAGGTTAACAGTTCCAATCAAGAATGCCTTTTTTTTTTTTGTTGCACACAAAGAGGCAGCCCTTGGATCCACACGCAGCACTCCGACAATTTAACGTGCCTGGGGCCATCTGGCACCGGGCTCAGATGCTACAAAACCCGCCGAGAAAGCCAACGGC